AWYKAGAACAAATACGGTTTGTCAAAAACAAACTAAACGAAATAATATCTTATTGGCATAAAAAAAATAACACGCTGTACAAGACAAATGTTTGATTGGTGAAAAACGATAAAAATAGTTTGAGATAGATATTTAAATTAATACTTTTAAAATTTTAAATTAAATAATGTTATTATTATTTGCATAAATTAAAAATTTGTGATTGAATAACTAATGACCGAGTTCTAGGTATATATTATTTATAAAACATACTTTTGACAAGTAAATAATTTAATTTTTTTTACATCTAAAGATTTTGATTTTTTCATTCATCAAAGCGAATTACAACCGTTGGCAGAATAGCAAAGCCCACATGAGAGAAGCATAACCCAAAGAAAAGAGAGGTAAAATCCCAAAAGGGAAGAACATATCTCAATCGATAAAAACTAACATACTCGGAACTATAAGCAACTAACATAACCACGCTAAAGTTCTAAGTAACTAAACAATAATGTAAAAGACGAGGGCATAACCAGATTACGCTCATCCAAGAAGAAAAATTACGAAGACGGACCACAAAGCCTTATTTTTCTAGAAGGAGTGCGGACCTTATCTCAGTCTAGTGCCCCATAGGTTGAGCGAAGGATCAAGTCATACCGTAGTTCGTTGAAGTAACTTAGTGTATTCGCTTTCTTGGTTTGTGCGGTGGCGATTCGTCATTGTTTCTCCTTCCTCGCTTTGGCTTAGTGTTGTCGGCTCGATCAGGTTCATTGGTGTTGATATATATATCGAGGTCTTTGATACTAATATCGCCCTTGAGGGTGCCGGCTGCCAGTCTCATAGCGAGTCTGAGTCCCAGAGTACGGCACTTCGCAATAGAGTGTCCAGCGGTTTGATGAAACTCGCAGAAAGCTGTTTCATCATAAGCGCTCTCGTCTCTTATCCATGTATTATTCCAGGGACCTCTGCCGCGACCTTCACCTCGACCTTCACCTCGGCCGCGACCGTATCCTGGCGATTTGATCTGATAATTATGAGTTCCACTTGTCTGCTTCGGCTTCCCCTGCTTTTGAGATAGCGTCGGACTTCCTCTTCGTTCTTGGCAAAGTCTGTAGAGCGATGGAGGGCGTCCTGGATGGTTGCCGGCTCGTTTACGGTTATCTCTTGATGAAACGGGGAGGGACACCACAATGCTCTTCTCAAAGTCTCTAGTTCAGAGGCGTTGCTCAGTCATTCTACTTTAGATAGTACCGATTTAAACCTTCCCATGAAGGTTCGCAGGCTCTCGTGTTCCCCTTGTCGTATTGTCTAGAGGTCAGAATCGTAGATTTTATACTCCATGAATAT